TATAAACCCAATTTAGGATTAAATAGATACTTTTGGTCTTTTAATATAATATGTGTCTCTTGTAAACATATAATATCATTCTTATGCTGCTTCAAGTAGTAAAATATTTTTCTCCTTTTTTGTGGTGAGTTCAGTCCATTAACATTTAAAGTTATTAATTTAGCCATCTTTTGGCTTTTGAAGCTTCTGAATCATCCCTTGCAGATCCATCATGACAGATCTTTTAGGTCTGGCCCCTCCCACTGGCTCCGAAGTAATTGAACATGTTTGGGGCATAACCTCTTTCTGCTGCTCTCTTTCCTTACGCTTGTGGGCCGCACGTGTCATTCTCTGATCTTTTGGGTCCTGTTTTGCCTCCAACATTTGTAAATTCTGAAAATCTCCTGCAGATAGCGACATAGCTCCAGGCAGATCCATATTCAGTTGTTCCACTCCTTCTTCTGTTCCTTTAACTGGTGATGTAGAAGATGAATCAGCTTTCAGAACCGTTAGATAAAAATGCTTTGCCTTCTGTACTGTATTGAATCTGTAACGGTTCTCAGCATATGTAAAGGCCATTCCAACTGGTATTTCCCATCTAAAAGGTATTTGCTGCTTCTTCAACTCTTGAGCCAGGAAAGCAAACTCCTTTCTTTTTCTTAAAATCTTTGAAGGTATTTCTTTCAAAAGTATAATATCCTGAGCAGCAATCTGAAATCTCTGTTGGTAAAAGGCCTGTATAATTTCATTTCGACGTGTTTTTCTAGAAAAATAAACAACAACATCCCTAGGCTGTTTTCTCTGACGTGCGACCCATGAATTGACTCTAAATATTTTTTCAATCTCTCCATAGATAATTTCAGGGTTGCAGTCTAAAACCAACGCTAAGGCAGCTGATACCTCTTCTCTCAGTTTCTCCTGTGCATCCTCTCGCAGGCCTCTGATTCTTATTGCATATTCCATCTCTCTGAATTGTGTCATTACAATGTCATTTTGAGTAATCTCTATACTCTTTTCTACTTTTTCCATTCTCTCCTCCATCCCT